GAACCAGCGCCTTATAACCGGGAACAGACTCTCCTGAAACGTCCACTATCCACTATCCACTAAGGGCTAAGCGGATACGGGGAAGCCAGTCTTGTTATCAGCTGTTCGACGCAATTTGAAAGAAACGTGACTGCTTTCCAGCTGGCTAGTGTCACGCTTAAATTAATATGACAAATGAACCAAGCCTGTCACGTTCCTTTGAGCGTGACATGTCACGTTTAAAGGAACGTGACAGTTTTCACATTCAAAGGAACGTGACGTCACATTCATTGAATAACAGTGTAGACGCGTTTTGAGCTCCAGAGTCGCTTGTGTGTTAGTATACTAACACACATCGCTAAACAGGCCTCGAACCGAACGTGTGACCCCACCAATGGATTCCTCGTTCGGAGAGCAATCCATTGGTGGGGTCACACGTTCGGTTCGAGCCTTGAGCGACTTTGGAGCTCAAAACGCGTCTAGAGTTTTGTCCACCTCCACCGTAGGGTTGGTCGAATCGATTACGATTTAAATCGAAAATCGATTCAGGTGGTCGATTTTCGATCCAAATCGTAATCGATTTGACGTGTCGATTTAATCGAAAAAATCGATTTAGGCGATCGATTTTCGATTTACCTTAAATTTGCGCTACTTTCGCTCATTTGGCGCTCTCAGAAAACTCAAACTGCGGTGATTTTGGTGAAACTGAAGACTAGGAATCATTTGCCACCAAGTTCAAGATGAAATCATTCAAAAACAAGGCCCTACAAGTAATCGTGCTGCTGTGCGTGAGGAAAACATTGCAAATTACGTCAAATCCTGGCCGGCCATTGTATTAGTAACAGGGAGGACCAGCACGTTTAGAAAGTCGCCAACAAATTAAAACCCCATTTCTACGCATTTCAGAGGCACGCGTTAGTAAATTTACTGAGATAGCTGTTCTGACCCCAATTAAACACTCTGTTCATTCCAGGAATGTATGACTTCAAATAAAGGATTTGTATGACTTACTAAGGCATCATACACCATGTAAAGCTGCAAAGAAGTCGGCAAGGGCATACTTTTACCTTCTTTACCGTCAAATACATTCAGACCAGGATTGTGAAGAGTGACTCGTACAAGCAGAGCATCTAATCTGAGCCGCAGGCATTTAAAAACGCAATTTACTAAGAAAGGCAGAATCGAAAATCGAAAGTTGAAAAATCGATTCATCACGTTAAAAAATCGATTTTGGGAAAAATCGATTATCTTGTTACGATTCGTAAATCGATGAATCGAAAATCGATTCGAGTGGTGAAAATGACAACCCTACTCCACCGGTCTTCTGGTCCACTGTGCGCGCCGTGCGCACACTGTGGGGACCGCGGACCCCCACTGTCGCGGTCAGCGTTCAAAAATGTAGGGCGTCAATTTCAGCGGCCCGCGCTCGGGGCGGTGCGCCGCGCCCCTTGGCAGTGTGTCTAAACTCCACAGCGAGGCCGCCTAGCCTAGCCGCCACGCTTTGACAGGCCTTGTGCGGGAAGTCAGGTGAATTGGCGGCTGCAGTGGGGCGGCGTGGGGCGGGGCGGGGCGGGGCGGGGCGGGGCGGGGTGGGGTGCTGTGCGGGGTTTGAACGCATTCCATCCAACTTATCCAATTGACTTGGCCGCCCTGCTGGTGCGGCGACGCCAACACACGCATGTACACTGCGAAAGAAAAAAAGAAAGAACGAACGAAGTGAAATAAGCCTTCCGATGTGACTCGGAGTTCGCGCAAGGCCTTGCATCGGGGTCTCTATTTCTTCGGAAACGCGACCTGCAACTTGGGTCTACCCTCCCCTTCCCCCGAATGCGTGAAGCAGGGTGGACCTCACGCTGAGCAGTGTAGGTCGACGGCGCGCTCTGGCATTGACAATTTTAACTCGAAAAGCGGCGCCAAATCAACATTCCGAAAAGCACTTTCCCAAAGATTTCCGGGATTTTCATAATTATTTTTGGCAGTGTAATGCATTTGAAAGACACCGTCGGCCTACACTAATGGATTTCTCTCCGAACGAGGAATCCATTGGTGGGGTCACACGTTCGCTTCGAGCCCTGTTCAGCGTCTCTGGAGCTCAAAACGCGTCTAGAGTTTTGTCCGCCTCCACGGTCTTCGAGGTGTGTTGGCCGAGCCCGCCCGCACAGTGCCAGACAGTGCAGGCGCGGTCGGCCGGCTGCGTTGCGCACTGTTTCTGCAAGACGCGGAAAGGCCAGGCTAAGTAGTTTAGTTCCAAGTGGGTGCTGGTCTTGATGGGGGCGGCGGTGCAGGCTGGGCGGCCGGGCTCGAGTTTGACCACGAAATGCTACTCGCAGCAGCGCACACACCGCGCTGGGGGCTGGGGCGGGCAGGGCCGGGCCGGGGTGGGGTGGGGTTGGGCGGGGCGGGGTGGGGCGGGGTGGGGCGGGGTGGGGCGGGGTGGGGCGGGGCGGGGCGGGGCAGCACACAACACGACCCCGCCACAACAGGCTGCCCTGCTACTAGTATGTATTTATTCAGCTGCCAGTTAGTTGAAGGTTAGTTTGCTGTTCACACCTCGACCCTCTTATTTAGTCCGCCCCTCCTCCGACTCGCTGGACCCGCAGCCAACTACACTGCAAGCCACACTGCCGCCTGAGTCTGCTTCGAGGAGCGGATCTAAAGCAGTGGCGGATCCAGAGGCGCTCTTATGGGGGGCCAAAGTAGCACTTTTTGGCTACTTACAGGAGCAACGTAGCACTTTTTGGCTACTTACAGGAGCAAAGTAGCACTTTTTGGCTACTTACAGGAGCAACGTAGCACTTTTTGGCTACTTACAGGAGCAACGTAGCACTTTTTGGCTACTTACAGGAGCAACGTAGCACTTTTTGGCTACTTACAGGAGCAAAGTAGCACTTTTTGGCTACTTACAGGAGCAACGTAGCACTTTTTGGCTACTTACAGGAGCAACGTAGCACTTTTTGGCTACTTACAGGAGCAAAGTAGCACTTTTTGGCTACTTACAGGAGCAACGTAGCACTTTTTGGCTACTTACAGGAGCAAAGTAGCACTTTTTGGCTACTTACAGGAGCAACGTAGCACTTTTTGGCTACTTACAGGAGCAACGTAGCACTTTTTGGCTACTTACAGGAGCAAAGTAGCACTTTTTGGCTACTTACAGGAGCAACGTAGCACTTTTTGCCTACCTTTCAGGAAGCAATCTAGGGGCTTTAGGGAAGGCGGGGGGCAAAAACCCCATTGCCCCCTCCACTCCCCTGTATCCGCGCCTGATGCGAAGCCGGCCTGAGGGCCAATTAGAATTTTTCGCCTACTTCCAGTGTGGCGCTTGCCTACTTTCCAGGCGGCTGTCTAGTGTCTGGGGGCCAAAAAGGGGCCAATTGCCCCCCCCCCTTTCTGGATCCGCGCCTTGCTCGCCTCGGCTTATGGCCCTGTCTGGACGCTACACGCTCCGCGCAGTGCCGGTGGCTGAGGCGCGCGAGCCTCGTGCCTTTTAGCTGCTCGTCTGACGGCGGAGGCGGCGAGAGCGGCGAGACAGCAGATAAGGCGGCTGCCGGGCCGTCCTGAACGTCGTAACTGATGCAACGACGGCCAGGCGCTGGTCGGGTTCAACGCGGTGTTACGTGGATTCCGCACGGCCGGCGCCTTGATTTCGAGAGGCATGCAGCCCCATCGGACGGCCCGGCCCCTCGCCTTTGTAACCGTACACGGTCCTCCGGCACGGCCGCCCCGCCACGGTCGCCCACCTTCAAGTAACAGACACGCTGGCGTCTCGTTACACGCACTGCCCCGGTTCGACTCCCACGACAGGAGCCCGTTCTTACTGGAGTGGTCACCTGTATGTCTGCGTGGCCGAGGGCGTTGAGTCGTCGTTTCGCATCCCTATGGACCAGGGTTCGAATCCCCGCCTCCGCTCTCATTTCCTCGGGCGCCGCTATTTTGCTTCACTTATTACTGCCTTAATCGATGGCCGGCCGAGCCTGGCCGAGTCCGGCCAGGTGGGGGAGTGGCCCTCGGCCAGGCCGGGCCAGGACCAGAGCAGAGATGTTGGCCCCTGAGGGGGCGCTGAGGGGGGCCGGAGGGGAGGCCTGAGGAGGCCGGAGGGAGACCTCAGGCTAAGTGGCTGTGGTCTCGCCGGGCCGCTCGCCCCGCCCCGCCACGCCCCACCGCGCCCCGCCACGCCCTGACACGCCACTTCTACGACCCAGTAGGGTGTCCTGGACAACTGCTGTGTAGCCAGGATGAATTTTGTAACGCCGTTTGCCCACCGTCGGGGCGGCGCGGCCGTGGCGCGGCCGTGGCGCAGCCGGGCCCGCGTCGGGGGCCCGCCAGGGGACCACTTGCAAGGCGCCCCAACTTTATGCATTACACGGACAAATTCGTGGCCCGTCGAATTTGGGTCTGGCGAGATGGAAAGTCCGAGTCCCCGGCGCACCGCGTGGCCTTGGAACCTTGCTTGGGACCTTCCGCGGGGCGGCTGGTTTGACTCGGCCCTCCTTCCCGGCGTCGAAAGGTTTGCCAACCTCTGCCTGCCTTCTAGCAGTTTCTCGAAAGCAAACCCAAGATGCAGCCTGGCAGGCAGGCTGAGGTTGGCAGCCCTTTCGACACTGGTGCACACAGTGGGAGTTTCCGGCCGCTTATGTGGCAACACTGCGCGGGGCAGGACGCCTTTGTTCGGCGGGACGTCTCCACAATGCTTTTCCTGCCCGCGCGCCTTGCGTCATCGTCGGTGGCAGCCTGTAGTCTGATTCAGAGAGCCGTCCTCGTCGCTCTGTCTCTCTCGCACCTCTACGGGACCCCCAGTGAGTGCGAGAGAGACAGAGCGACGAAAAGGACCCTCGGAATCAGCCCGCTGGTGGCACCACCGCGCGCTATGTTTGGCGGTGGGAAGCTGCTCCCGGGTAGCACGGCGATAACGCGATAAGCGATTTTCGCGACTCCTTATCGTATTTTTCTGCGCCTGGCTTAATCTTCCCGGTGAGTCATGTCATCAAACACGCGCAAGCGGGAAGCGTAATTAGAAACGGTACTCAGGATGCAAAAAAATAATTTTATTATGACGTAATGTACAGTTACAGTTATTTTCGAGCTTCGCCAGCAAGCTCGAGGTTGCTACACCCTTCTACCAGAACATGCCAATGGGGAGGCGGTACTCCACCGGGCTGATGTTTCGGCTCAACACGCGTGGCTGGGCTGGTGCGGGGGCGTCTGGGGCCGCGGACGCGGCGGGCGTCTCAGGGTCTGCAGACGGGGCGGGGGTTTCTGGAGCGTCAGATGGGGCGGCGGTCTCTGGAGCGGCCGACGGGGCGGGGGTTTCTGGGGCTTCAGTAGGTGCAGGGGTTTCTGGGGCTTCGGATGGGGCGGCGGTTTCTGGAGCCGCAGACGGTGCGGGGGTTTCAGGAGCTTCGGACGGTGCGGGGGTTTCTGGGGCTTCAGACGGGGCGGGGGTTTCTGGGGCTTCAGACGGGGCGGGGGTTTCTGGTGCCGCAGACGGTGCGGGGGTTTCTGGTGCCGCAGACGGTGCGGGGGTTTCTGGAGCCTCAGTTGGGGCGGCAGACGGGGCGGGGCTCTCGCTGGCCGGCGCGGGGGTGGCGGTGGCGGGTGCCTCCGTGCTCTCGTTGCTCTCGTTGGACCCTGAGCCGGACTCCTCGGAGGAAGACCCGGAGTCGTCGGCCTCCGTCGTGAGCGGCGAGGCGGTGGTGGTGCGGCGGGGCCGGTGAGTGGGCCGGTGATGGTGGCCGTGGTCGTGGTGTCCGTGGTCGTGGTGGCCGTGGTGGTCGTCGTGGTGGTGGCCATGCTCGTGACGACCGCCGTGGTGGCCCCGACGGGCCTCCAGCTCCCTCTCGAACTCCCGCTTCAGCTCCTCCAGCTTGCGGTCAATCTTGTCGGCCAGGTCGGGCCGTCTCTCCTTGAGCTCCTGCAGGTGCTGCTCCAGCCACTCGGGGCGCGGCGCGGCCTCGGACACGGCCAGCGCCACGGCGGCCAGCACCGCCAGGGCCTGCAGCAAACCGATTTTTTTAGCGACTTATACTGTGTCAAACAGCTTTCTTGTTCATACACGGTAAAACGGAACCTGGTTTTCCCAGGAAGCCTATGGTGGAGACATAGGCGATTTCCAGCCAGTTCCTGGGAAAACCAGGTTCCGTTTTCACCGTGTAAACAACTAGGGCAACCTTAACATGTGACTACTCCGGTCCATTGCGAGTCCTTTTAGTCTGTTACTTCAAAATTAATGCTCTTAAGAATAGCTAAGGACTTTCGAAAAATTTTAAATTTTAAAAATTAGCAGCTGGATCACAAAACTATTTTTACAGTGCGTTCTTCCCCCCGGCGTGGAAACTCGTAACCACTTTTCAATCAATCGGAGGCACGCGTACTCACCAGAAGCACTCTCATGTCGGTGTGTGTGGTGGGTGGTAACCGCTGGAGGTCTTAGGGACTGCTCGTGCTACGAGCTACTGGGCCTCCCTGCCGTGCGTACCGCTTAAAAAGGAGCGTCTGATAAGGGTCCACGTCTGTTTCTGTTTGCCCGGTGTATCACTTCTCCGTAGCGCTGGCATGCTGGCTGACGTGCCGGCGAGCTTACCGGTGTGCACCGGGATGGCGGAGTCGAATAGGCTGCCTACCTTCCAGGAGAGAGAGAGAGAGAGAGAGAGAGAGAGAGAGAGAGAGAGAGAGAGAGAGAGAGAGAGAGAGAGAGAGAGAGAGAGAGAGAGACAGAGACAGAGAGAGAAGGGGGAGGGGACACCACCCGCCACAACGGCGCGCTCCGGACGGAGCGGCCAGGCACGCAGCCAGGCAGCGCTGTCAAGGTGGTGCATTGCCTGTCGCCGGCGGTTCCAAACGTCTCGCCCGCGCCTGACAGGGGGCAGTGGGCACTCAGCGGCCGGCCCGTGCGACGGGCTGCCTTCAGACTGACGCCAAGAGCCGTCGCTCTGTCTCTCTCGCTCCCACGGGGCGTCCCGTACGGGTGCGAGAGAGACAGAGAACGACTCTCGGAGTCAGTCTGCCGCCGAACAAATCGGCCGCAGAGTGGCGCTCCACCGTCCCGGTTTTCGACAGCTGGAAGCGTCGAGAATCAGTGCTGCCACGTGTGTGGGCAAAAAAATCCCAATGCACCAGCGTCATGCCAACCTTCGGGCTGCCCGCTAGGCAGTATTATCTGGGCTTTGTTCTAATTTGACAGGGATTTTACCCTCAGATTATCAAAATTGGTTGCAGTAACTGGTCGGGGGAAGGCTCAAGGTCAAGATATCAGCGCCATAAGGTGTGTGTACTTGTTTTCTTACCGTGTACATTTCTTCCCAACTTACCCCAATCGTTACGATTCAAACCACATCCTGACCGCCGAGTAGCGTATTGGGTTCACGGACTGTGCTGTACCCTTGACCCGAGGGCAGTCAACTCGCGGAGTTGGAACCATTGCCACCGCTCATCACCAATCTTGCTCTTTAAAAATGTGCAATGAAAGTTGCGTTTTCCAAGTACATTGCATTTGATTGTACTCTTATGAATTGTTGTCAAAATGCACTGTTTCTTAAAAACCACAAGAAAAATTTTTAAACGAGAGAAGTAAGAAAGACAATCTTTTTAAAAAAAATTCCTTTAAGATATCTCATAACTCTTCGAGTCAGCTAACTAAAAAGGTTGATTAGCAGCGAGGAATCCTACACACCATCACAACAATGCTATAAAAATGCTAAAAAATATATTTTTTAAATGCCTCAGAAGTCGTGAAATTTCTTGGGTTTTTTTTTTTTTCGTTTTACATTGTGAGCATTTGGCAAGGAACGAAAACAAACTGGCTGCATACCGGCCGACAACGTCACCAACTAAATGCAGGGCGTGCGGGTCTAGACCACTCTGCCGCGACAGTATGTGAGCGAACAGAAATCATGGTTATTCAGTGCGGCCGATGCTCCGTGAATAATACTCGCATTACGAAAACGGCATTTCATCCGCTTTTGTAATTTAGCCCCTCATCGTTCACACACACCGTAAAAAAAATAACTCATTCTTTCACAAGGTTTTTTTTCCGTTTTTTTTTTGTGCAGATTGGTGATGCGTCCGTGTAATGCCCCTGAATGTGCTCGCGCCGTGCGTCGCGCTGCGGGTCACGGTCAAGGGGTAGATGTATATGCATGGCCCGGCCGGCCCGCGGCCCATCGCCTGCAATTGCCAGTCCGATCAACGCCTTGTCGGGGGACGTGTCCACGACGACCGACCAAACTTCCATCACCTCCGGCCGTCTCACACCGCCGCGAGCAGCACCGCGACATGGAGGACGCCGTCAACCGGGTCGTGGAGTACTACCACGAGTCCGTCACCAACTACCTCGGTACGTAGCACAGTGGGTCGGAAGACCGGTGGAGGCGGCCGAAATCCCGGACGCGTTTTGAGCTCCAGAGTCGCTAAGTGGGACTCGAACCGACCGTGTGACCCCATCAATGGATTGCTCTCTGAACGACGAATCCATTGGTGGGGTCACACGTTCAGTTCGGTTCCTGTTTAGCGACTCTGGAGCCCCAAATGCGTCTAGAGTTTTGGCCGATTCCATATGCAAATGCATGCTTGGAAGTGTGCTGTAAGGTTGGTTTGTAGTGTACGTTGGGCCGACCGGCGCAACCAAGGTTTCAAAAATTTTCCTGGGTCGAATGCTTTCACTGAGGTCTGTACACCGGGAAAGGTGTGACCTCTGTCGCTCCAGACTTCCATTGTCACGACGAAAATTCGCCAGACAAATGCTGTCACTCGAGACAATAACCCACTCTTTGGGAGAAAAGCACGCTCACTTCTTCGTGAGCATGTTGATGGATTTTCGTAAAACACGAAGCAACTAATGATTGACGACTTGTTGCAGACCCGCGGTCCGAAGACTGGCTGCTGAGCAGATCGATCCTCGTGCCTTTGACCCTCATCGGAAGTTACCTGTACTTCGTGAAGAAATGTGGTCCCGCATTCATGGCCAACAGGCAGCCCTACAACGTCAAGAGCATCATGATCGTGTACAACATCATCCAGATCATCGCCAACGCCTACGTTTTCATCTCGGTGCGAGCTGGGTGTTTGTTGTTGTGCAGAGTGTTTTCAAAAAACTGTTGATGTGTCAACTTTACCTTTTGCAGGCTGCTCAACTCTGGGTCTCGGAGCTAAAAAGCATTACGTGCCAGCCCATTGATTACAGTGTAACCGAAACGACCCGACAGGTAAGGGCGTGGCGTGGCGCACTGCGTCGGTGAATCGCCTATCATGCGGCAGCACCACCGCCTTCTACGTGACAACATCAACGTTTTCATTTGCAGATGGCAAACCTCGTCTGGATGTACTACGTCTTAAAAATAGCTGACTTGATCGATACAGTAAGTTATTGTGAATAATTGACCAATTTATTCATCTTCGGTTAACCCTATTAAGAAGAAAAACTCTATTCTCTTTAAAATTCCGAAAACTCTTTGTGAACTGTCGAAAAGAAGTTTTCTAGAAGTATGGTGGTTTCTAACAAGGGATGTCCCAACTCGTCCAGGTATTGTTCGTGCTCCGCAAAAAGGGCAGCCAAGCTACCTTCCTGCACGTCTACCACCACTGCGCCATGGTCATGGGTGGATACCTCGGCTGCAGATTCATGCTCAGTGAGTAGCATCCCACGCAGCGGGCCAGAAGGCCGGTGGAGACGGCCAAAATTCTAGACGCGTTTTGAGCTCCAGAGCCGCTAAATAGGACGTGAACAGGACGTGTGATCCCAACAATGGATTCCTCGTTCGGAGGGCAATCCATTGGAAGGGTCACACGTTCGGCTCGAGTCCCAGCGACTCCGGAGCGCAGGCGTGCCCGGCATTTTGACCGCCTCTACCGGTCTTCTGGCCCACTGTGCGCCGTTCATTGACGAATTCAAAATGAGTCAAAGCCCGTGTTTCTTCTGTTCAGACGGCCACGTGTTCCTCCTGGGCGTCATCAACGCGTTCGTGCACACCGTGTTGTATTCCTACTACCTCCTGGCCGCGCTCAGGCCCGAGACCAGGGAAGCGTCCTGGAAGAAGTACATCACCGTGCTGCAGCTGGTGAGTATTCCTCGCGCTGTACAGTGTTCGTAGTCTGGCCAAGGGGAAATCACTGTGAATTTCGGTGTACAAATCCAATAAATTTCAGTCGAATTTCGATGAATTTCAGTCGAATTTCGATGAATTATAATAAATTTTACATGTTTGATGAATTTTGGTGTACAAATTTGGCTGGAGATATTTCCCCTTGAGCCTGGCAACGGGAATGGCGCTCTTTTGTTCCGCGTTTTGTAATGCTCTCGGCGTGTGAATTGAGGGGCCCGTGTTCTCAGCCTTTCACCCTCTCGCAGGTCCAGTTCGTCATCCTGTTCGTCCACAACATATTCCCGCTGGTGACGCCGGACTGCCACATCCAGAAGATCTGGTCCGTCATCCTGGTGGTGCAGAACGTCTTCATGTTCGCCATGTTCTCCGACTTCTACGCCAAGGCGTACTGTTCTAAGAAGAAGAAGCAGGCCTAGTCTTATCGGGCAAGCGGGTTCCGCGGAGGCCAGGGCCAGGACGCCTCGTTTATCGCGAATGGGCTTCTCGGCTTCGCATTTCGCGGCAAGTTGGGCCCAGTGTAGTGCCAACAATGTCTGAATGACTTGCACCGCCCCGTGCGGACAACACGATGACGCGGCCCGAGTCGTGAAACAGGGTATTCTTTTTGAACGGCCGGGTGAGTGAGAACGCACCGGACGGCTCATTAAGGCGGGCCAGTGTTGCGGGGCTGCTTCACTGGCTAAAGTAGCAGGAACGCTCAGTAGGCCAGAAGACCGATGGAGGCGGTCAAAATCTCGGACGCGTTTTGAGCTCCAGACTCGCTAAATAGGACTCGAACCGAACGTTTGACCGCTCCAATGGATTGCTCTCCGAACGAGGAATTGTTGGGGTCACACGTTCGGTCCGAGTCCTGTTTGGCGACTCTGGAGCCCAAAACGCGGCTAGAGTTTTGGGCCCCTGCACCGGTCTTCTGGCCCACTGTGTGACGCCTGGTCGGAACTGGTTGGTCAATGGACATTGGTCGGCTTTGAAAGGCAGTGGCGCGACCAACCACTTCCGGCTGGGATGTCTCCGGGGCGCTCGCAGGCACGTCCGCAACACTGGCGCCTGTTGGCTGGGAGTGCGTACTGGGTGTGTGACACACTGTGTGTAGGGCTGCGTCCGGCAACCAGCAAGCAACCGGAGGGACTGCCTCGCAATCTCTCCTCCACAATCATACATCGTCGCAGCTTGTGCGATCTCGCGTAATATCGATTCAATAAATTTACTACCATCGACTACGAGACACAATTATTTTTTCTTCGGCTGGGAAAAAAAGTCTTTTGCTTCATTTCTTTAGGTTTTACTTTCAAGCTTAATTTAATAAAAACGAAACGCTTTAACAATCAAAGCAAAAGGCGTAAGGCACAGAATGCTCCGTCCATGTACACAGTACATAGTACAAAGTACGCAGTACATAGTACGATGCGACGGCACGTCGACACGTGCTTCCCCAGCATGGCGCCAGGGCAGGGAAGGCTACCCATAAACAAATAAATAAATAATCAAATAAATAAATAAGTAAATAAATAAATAAATAAAGACATCCGAAACACTATTTTAACAATGAATCGATACAATAAACATTTATTTAGTAAAAACGATTATTTGCCATTAACATTCGACGGAAATAAGAATTCCTTCAATGAAATACAAAGTATTGTTTCGAGCACAAATCAAAAAGTTATGAAGTTCGAATTTGAAGCCTGAACTAACCTAATAAACTGGTAGAAGTAAGATAGTGGTGTATCGTGTTTCAGTTGGTTCACTGTAATATAGAATCCTTACAAAAAAGCTAGAACTGATGACAAAACCCGATAACGCACTTATTAAAGCTTATGAATGAACAGCTGTATATGTATGATGAACACAATTAGATTTAATGCATTAGTCATCATGTGTCATGAAGCAAAATGAAAAACTTGAACAAGATGCAGTCGCGGTCACGATTTCAACATTCGCTAGAGAGATGTGGTAAGGCACATCACTCGAAGCCATTGCCAATATTTTCAAACATACTGCATCTCGGGCAAACAAGATGAGATGGCAGTACTTTACAAAGGATTACTTACATTGGCAATTCGTTTCGATAAACAACAATATTTGGATGATTATCTTTGAGACCGACTTTTATAAAACGTTGAATTGAAAGACTTGTCTCGCTATACGATCCGAATATCAGTCATTCGTTTGATACAATTCTTTAGACTTAATTAACAGCCAAAGAGAGGTTCTTAACAACTAGTTATACTTCTTTTTTCGCAACATATCTATAGTACCTTATCTCCGTGATACAGGCTGCAGATTTCAGTCGAACGACATTACAGAAGAGCGCCAGCATCGAGGTAGAGCACCTCCCCAGACCTGCAGCGTGGCGGCTGCGGCGGCCCGTGGGCTACCTCAGGTTGGTTCAAGACATCAAGGCCGCAGCACTAATCTAACAAACCAGTCTAACACCCATCCCCCCCAAGTAAAGAACATTCAACAACTGTGTAAATGTAAAGTTCATCTTTTACAATACATTAAAAATCTCAAAGAAAAATAATAACAGTAACAACGGCCGTATTTGGGACACATTTTTTTTTTGTGGTCGACAAATATTGCTCTTGCGGCATTCCCCAGGTTGTCCCTGCACTCCGCAGGACTCGCAAGGACGCGCAGGCCCGGCGGGCAGGCCCGCGGTCGGCCTGCGGTCCGAAGGCGGGTGCTCCGAGGTTACAGTAGTGGTTAGATAAAACAGTTCAACTTTAACATGATGGTCCTAGTGACTAGCAGGAACAAGTACACCAAGAAAAGCTGATAACAAAACTCTGGCGTGGGTGGGTCCAAACGGCAGACCCCTTTCATCCGACTCAAGAATCAACATGGAATCTATAACCTACATGAACAGTGACTCCAGCAATTCATTGCCTCCATAGGCTATCAAATAAAAAAACTATAATTTTAACAATGTTCAACATTTTTCAAGCACAAGCCCTGCCTTCCGCAGAAAAGACACAACAACTTGACAACTGTCTCTTCATTCACTTAACAACTAATTACTTACAATAATTACATGCACGAAGAGCTAGCGCAAAATGCGCTCTTCCTTAAGTGAAAAAAACCACTATCTTGACTTGTCGTTCATTTCTTGGTCGCTCGCCATCGGTGTCTTCTTCAACACTCTTTCCTATTTCAGTTGAAACTATCTCTAGCTCTAGGGTTTAGAGTCCAGACGACCAATCCCCTAACAAAAACAACGGCCGAGACAACAACAACAAAGACCGCGCGAAGTAGTCGTCGAACACCGAACGAGCGACTGACGTTGCGTCCATCTGCACATTCCACGAGTCCACGCCGCGTCTGTGAGTGTGTGTGAGAGTGTGTGAGTGGTGGCCAAACAGGGGGACACTCCGCGCCGGGGGGCGGGGCGGGTACTTGCCGACAGCAAACAAAAGGATTTGTGCGAAATCGTCCCAGTTCGTGATTCGACGAAATCTGCTGCAGGTAGATGCCGCCAGACGGGGTCTGTTCAATGCTTACGGAATTTTGAGATTCGGGACTGAGATGGAAAGTAAATGATGTTTTGGATGATTTTTTACAATGCACGTCAAAGGTCAGGTTTAGTTTTCAAATCAAAATCCCAGTGGAGCCGACCAGACGCGACATCCACTCCGCCTCGCTCGGCCGCGCGGACCGCGTGGAATGCACAGACGGCAAACGAACGAAAGTCCGTCAGTCCTATAAACAAGTTCACTGATTGGACGCGCGCGCGTATGCAGCACACACACGCACGCACGCGCGCGCTACGCACGCCCCCACCTCCGCCAGATAACAACAACAACGGGGGCTTCCGGAGGGACCGAGGCGAGAAAGTGTCCTTCACGTAGCCTCCGTCCAGCCCCACTTTTTTTCTTTGATAAAAAAAAAGCGTAAAGTAACACGAGGCCGCTGGCCGTTGGGCCGCAGGCCTGGCCTGCACGCCTAGTCCATGGACCGGGGTCTGCCCGAAGGCCCCGAGGGCCCCGAGGGCCCCGAGGGCGGGGCGGCAGTGTCGCGGCTCCCCCTGGCCTTGGCCACCTTGGCCGCCTTGCCGGCCCGGCCTTGCCCCCGGTCGGTCGCGGCGGTCACGGCGGTCGCGGCAGGCTAGGCTTGGCGCTAGACGGCCGTCTCGGTGTGGCTGTGCGACGACAGCCGCTCCACGTCGACCTCGGGCACGGCCAGCTCGTCCGGCAGGTTGTCGGCGTACTCGATGGAGGAGGTCTGCGACAGCCGCTTGCTGAGCGAGGCCTGCTTGCGCAGCACCTCGGCCAGGCTCACCGAGCTGCAGTCCGTGCACCGGGCGTCCAGGCCCTGTCGGAAGGCGTTCACCACGCGAATCTGCAAAACCAGACAACGCGCTCCGTATCACTCCAGTTGCCATGCCGGGCCAGCGCAGCCCCGCGGCGCCACGCCGGGCCTGCCCCACACCCCGCACCCCTCGTCCTAGCCGGCTAGCCCCTCCCGGCCCCTCCCCTCGTCTGTCAGGCTTTTGGAGCGGGGCGAGGAGTCGAGAGTCGACCTATCGAATCGAGAGCGAGCACCGGGCTTCCCCGACGGGAAACCCCCGCTGGCCAGCCGAGCGCCTGACAAGCACCGGGTAGGCCGCCCGCCCCACACGCGTGCCCGGCGGGCTGGCCTACCCGGCGCTCCGCAGGCTGATTCGTCTCGTCGCACTCACGGGGCGTCCCGTAGGGGTGCGAGAGAGACAGAGCGACGAGACGACTCAGTGCAGTCCGCTCGGCAGGCCCGCCTCGCGGCGGGACGGATTGGGGAAGTTGGCCGAAGCTCCCTTTAGATCTATCTACTCGTTCCAAACGCCAGCTGGACCAACCTCCACGTCCACGGCCCTGGAGACCACTCGGAGGAAAGGCAGCAGGCGGTGGTGGGGAAGCGTCAGAGAGAGCAAAGAGCGCACTGAAGCAGCGAGGCTGCGCATGCGTACAACGTCCTTGTTCTCCTGACTGGTCTCCAGGGCCTCCGTGGCCGGAAGCGGCAGACTCCGCGGCCAGTCAATTTTAGTTACTAGGGGGAGACGCCACCCAAACAAAAACCCTAGCTAACCTGCGTTGCGTCTTTCCCTGCCCGACCCTCTAGAAAACCCCATCCCACTTCCCGACCGGTTCACACATACACACAAAAACGGTGGCTTGTGCTTCGGGGGAACAACGGAGCGGTTATGATGCAGCAGCGTAAAAACACACGCACACACAAGCCAAGAGGCCAAGAGGCATCACACCAAATGGGGCACTGGTATACGTACCCTAAGCCGGCCGGTCCTACCTGTGGCTGGCAGTCGCTAGCTGGCCCGGCGGCCCGCGGCGGCGGCCCGCGGCGCGGCCCCTACGGGCACTTTCACGCGAGAGAGGGGCGGGGGTGGCGGGGACTGCCGGTGTCCGAGCGAAGCGTGGTCACCGACTGAAGGCCGGGAACCCGGGGATGAGAGCAAGGAAAGGCGTGGACAAAATACTTGGTTAGGTCAAGTCTAGGGTTAGGTGTGCCTTGCCACGCCTCCACTGCCACAGTTCCGTCACTTTGCACTGCCTTGCGCCGCGTAGCCATCGCGTCAGGTCCGCGCCTCACGCGCCCACGCCCCGGGCAGCGGCCAGCCCCACTGCGGCCCTGTGCGTTGGGTTGCCTACCCAGTGACTCGCAGGCGCCGGTTCGCAGTGCCGCAGTGCGACTGACAGAGACAGAGGCAGGTCTCTGGTTCCGGACAGCTTCACTACTCTCGACCGGCACCAGGTTTTGTTTCTACGTGGGGCATGGCAGGGTTGTCCTCCATGGGGAAGACTAGCAGATACGTAGTTAAAATGTTGAGACTCTGCTTCCCACACTCCAAAAGCCGAATAGACCAGTGTTGAACAACACAACTTAACATCATCCCTGCACAGAAGAGGCTTAACGCGTCCTTTTATGAGAAAATTCTAGACTCATACCACGGGGCAGGATTTTTGTTGAGTCAGAAACTATATTTTGAGGATGGGAGCCTTCCAAAGTAGTGCCCAAACCATTGGAATTCGTTCAACTTATTATTTGCTAGGATATGTAATGCTCATAAAAATACAAGGAGAATGCTCGTTTGCCATCTGCATATATTTTTAATTTATTTTATGCACCAAATTCAAACTTTGTAAGATTCAAGTCAACATGTTCAATTAAATTCATAATGAAACAAAGAATCATCCAGGGCAGCTATGTGAGAATCGTCACTCATGATGGTATCATTGTATTCTTTATATTGAGCAAATTGAAACAGTGGCGCAGATTCTAATAAATTCCAATAGAAAGGGCCAGATTCCCACTCAGACCTTGGCCAGCAAGTACAGAGTGAAGGCTTTTTTTTACCCCTTGTGTGTCATTATTATTATAACAAATAAAATGAAAAAGCGAAACGCTAGCGTGCAGTGTAGTGCTAAGTGCGGGTACTCACTGCGTTAGTGGCATGCGCAGCTGAGGCCGCCAACCAACTAAAGCTCAGTTTTCTTCCTGCAATACTAAATACAGGCAATATATCACTCCATGCAAAGCATTAATTACTCTTTCCGTCTAGCGTACAGTCTGTATTCAAACTAACTGTGCAAAAGCACGTACAGTAATTTTGTACTTTCTTCTCTTTTACTGGTATCTAAACTAGTCAAGTTGCACAACATCACCTTCCACTAGTCAGCTCAAGATTTTTAGCGTTAGAAGCATTACTCTGGGGTTTCCGTATTTACATGTAAACAGAAGAAACTAAGAAACGAAGGGTTCCCCATCTGCAGTGTATGATAAACAGAAATAAATTTTCTTCAAGTTTTTTAGGATCACTTGAAAAATACTTAAGTTTTAGTGGTAGAAATTTTTTAACCAAAGAGAAAAAGATAAGGATATAAAGCTGATAAATGGAATGCTTTAAATCCCTGGTTCTTATAAGTAGTTTGAGTGAGCAGCAACAGGACTTGGTTTAAAATATTGTCATGGCAGTTATCAGGTACAAAAAGGTAAGTGAAGCCATGCTGAAACTATCGACCATAAAATACAAATTGGGAGCCCTTCGAACCAACTTAAGGTGGTTACAAGCGTGTCAATGTACCTTTACAACTCAGAAAGAAAAAGAATTCAAAAGTACATTAAAACTGTTAAATTTTCACAATTATGAAATTAAATTTTACATTATGATAGAATACATTGCAAAGAAATCAGCAAGTGAGATAATTTCATTACAATGGCATAGATTTCTCAGCTTCAAAATACTAAATTTAAGAAGACAGATACACTGTGGCAGCACAGATTTAATTTGGAAAGAAGGTTTCTATTTCATAAATTCCAGTAAGAGCTTTAAGCGAGTGTGTGAAAAAGAAACTGTCTAAGTACGGGATACAGTGCAAAACCAAACAAGAAATTAGCAAGATCAATTTGATTGGGATCAACCTACTTGACTTGGCAAGTAGCCTTACATTCATGACCAATTCTTATGGTCCTGCAGTTAATGCTCAAACAAACTTGATCTTTTCGCCAACCTCAAGTAGTTAATTTGATTAAATTCCAAAGGACAGTCTATTGAATGAAGTATGTACTATTAAAAATGATCTGCAGTAAGAATTTAAACTTCTCTGTACCTCGAGATTTCATCTACTATATTTTTCTTTTTTTTGGACAGGAGAGTACTGTAGCTGAAATTTATACAAGAGCAATTTCAAAATATCTGCAAGTACCTCAATAATTTTTACAGGACAAAATGTTGTCTCCCTATCTACTGGTTTATAGAAGCAAAAGAATAATCCAACAAAGGGTACCAGTAGAATAGGATTTAATGAAAAATTGGTGTCGTTAAGAAAAGAAGTGGAATAACTCTTGTATAACTAACTGTTAGTAATAAGAGTAAGTAAGAATGCATGCTGAAAATAAATAACCCCATGGTTAGTTTGATAGTACAACGATCTGCAGCTGGAAGTGTCAATGCTGTTGGTTTCAAAAAGTGTGACAAAGAATTTGAGACTCTGCTGATGTTCGACTTTACCTTCCTCAACACCAATCTGCTACACTGGTACAAGTGGACGCTTCTTTCCGGTTGACATCAAAAATTTAGCATTAAATGGCATTTATTTCTAAAATGCATGATGCAGATATTCACCCAGAGGACAAAAGGCAAATAATATCACATTGCAGTCCTTGAGTAAGGAACTTTCTTTCCCAGTTTTTTTTTTTTTTTTTTTTTTTTCAGTCTTGAGGAGATTGAAAGTCAAAGGTGCATATGAAATCAATGTGATCCAATTATTGTAGGTAATTATTTGATTCCAGCAATTGCAGTTTGCATAAAATTGCACTCACACAGCAAAACTCAAGACAATATGTCCTATAGGTGCTATACACTACTCGTGAATCAACTGCAGAGCATTTGCTCGTGTGCACTTCAACACCTCGCCACTAGGATATTCAGATACGTGCAATGAGGAAGAGATCAGGTTGTTAGGAGAAGGATCATCATTTTTGAAAGCAATTTCCTATATAGTTTATATTTACATTGAGTATTCCTAAGAGTATTCCTAATAGTGCTGAAAGCTCATATCACCAATATAGTAAAATAAAAATAATTTCACTTATATAAGACTGGCTTTTGACGTTTAAATGCTTTCAAAGGAAACAAATGTCTTGTGAAACCCAGTAAGAAGCCTGCGTATCATGTAACACCAGTACAATTTTCTTTTTTGTTTGTTTGCAATCATTTGCACTCTTCCCTTTGCTAAATTTGTTCTAGAAGTATTCTCATCTATACACCATAACATAACCAAATCTATATTTTAAATGCAGTTAACAGTCATGCAGTACAGAAAGATGAAAATTAATCAGTACCAGTTAACATGGTATTTGCAATCAAAAGTAAAAGGGCATTTCCGGAGAAATTGTTCGCAATCATCGCAAATAGCGATACATGTGCATAAGTACAATATTGTTTATCTTAAGTAAATGTCAACCAGAATAATGCAAGCTCCTTTTCTCAAAAAATGAAGGGAAACTTAAAACATTTGGCACAGCACACCAGGCTAGGTGCTTATCTTCACAATTTATTTGAAGTTATGGATTTGGGCTTGTACTCTACTTAAATGAAACAGCACTTACTTAACAAATGCATATGTATCATAGTTTGTGCCTGGCAACATATAAGTAAATGTGCCATGTAGATGTGTGTGAAACAGTTACTTTAAACAAGAATGCAAAGGCACAATTGAACTGTAGAATTTGAGAGATGTTCTGAGCAAATTAAAATGAACTGAACAGACATGCAGAAGCATTATTCTCGCTGTGATTGTACACTGTACGCATGCAGTCACATCATCCTCACTCTGGGAGCAAAGCAATACAATCACATGGCACTTTCCTTTGTACAGCTTATGCTTTTATTTAAGCTTATCTATACTTTAAGTTACATAAATTAGTAAAAAAATACAGCCAGCATATAAATAAGTGTAGCAAAAAAAATTTAACACTGGTACAATAATACACAATTAAAATGCAACTAATACACAATTATTAACACTGTAGGCTCACATATTCAACATAACTAAATAGCATTCTATGTTTATTATCAAACACTGCATCTAAATACCCTGTAGCTAAAAACCAATGGAATCAGAGCTGCTACAAGATCCTTTAGTCTGACCAACATTACCCAACAATTTAAACATGAACTCAAGTTTGATGTCAAATATTTTCTGTGAGCAGTAAGTAATAGGTGTCAGCTGAAATCAAAGATCAAGACCTAACCAAATACATCAGTAAGCAGTATATTCCAATTGAACCAAAAGCTAATGTCACAGAATTCAAGTAAATCGTACAGATCAAGGGGAAACTGAAATTGATAGACTTCATGAACACAATATTCCCGCTTTGTCCACTTAATTTACGGCCAGTTTATCAGTGAAACATGCCAAGTCTACTTGGAGTTTGCATTTCTCCAGTCATCTATTTAAGGCATAATGATGAAATTCAAATTCATAGCAACCCTGATTCATAATGTACACAGTATGGGCCTTCTCTGGAAGATCACTCTAACGGCTGAAGAGTTGACTTTGTCATAGTTTGCCTGAAATGGGTGTGTCTAGTACTCACAGCCAAATGTCGGTATTCACACACAATTGGCTATCAGCAGTGACTTCCACAGAGAGGCAGTTCAGCATATACGGTACATTCGGCTGACTCATGCTCTACAGCTCAGCCAAATTAGATAACTCTCTCACTCACACATGTACACATTCAAACACATACACACATATATATATATAACATTCAAATTAATTGCAAACACTCGCACAAACATTCAAAACAATTTCATGAGACCTGCTTTTTCAAAAATGGGATATCCTATATTAATTAGGTTTTAAGCAAAACTCTTAAAATGTAAAATTGTAAGCATACTTCCAACAATTAAAACAGGAATGTACTAAGTTTGATAGTGAATATATATCTGGCCAAATAATACTGAACATTTGTGTTATTACAATGGCCAAAAGTGAATCAAACAAAACAGGCAACACATGGCACGGTCTTGAAGACTTCCATCAATTATCAAACCATGCATAAGTGAAGGCCTGATTCAAAAGCTCTGAAACTGTGGAGTAAATGCAACAACAAAAAGCGAAGTGTGCGCTCGATTCTTGATCTTATCAGAGTGAGTGGCGCACAGCTGCGCTCAGCCTTGTTGGCTGGTCATGCTGGGGCAGAGAGACAGGAAGAATAGAACTAACAGGATTCTACAGAAATTGTAGGCAGGGTGAGGTAATAAAAGAACCATGCATCAAGGAAAAAAAGAATCTAAAGGGTTAACTTTAAAGAAACAACTCTCACACAGAAAATAAAAAACTTGATTCACATCATAGCAATTATAAAACATTTTGAGAGTAACTGGACTGTTATAAAAATTAAATGGCTAAAGCTACCATAAAATAAAACCCTTGACAACACTCAACACAAAAGGATAGAAGTAACACCCAAAGCGGGGCATAATAATGGACGAATCTCACATAACAGTAGGGGTCAGTCCGTTAGACACTATCATGTGAGTTTCGAAATGTGCAATGCTTCGCAGCATGACTACATGTATGGCATCGGTCAGGGATAATCCAAGAACGTCAATCATACATCAATGTAGTGTTGCGCAATGCATATTGAGCAGGCAGGCAGCGAGCGAGCGAACAAGAAAGATTATAGGAAGGCAGCTTACAGCTTGATCGGTAGAACTCTTGCTGTAGGGGACCGGAATCAAACGCTCTTGCAATTCACCACCTATCACCTTTAAGAGTAAAGGGTAACAATCAGCAGTGAGACGAGATAACAATATAGTCACACAGTGCTGACTAGGGTGAACCTTGTCTGAGTCAAGTGGAGAGCTACATACAACAATACAAAATGGGCAGAGGGTTTTGCATAACCCCATGCCAGCTCATACAGTACACATCCTTCATGGGTCCCTGCTCCACAATCATCATAGGGGTTTGTCTAACTGTTCATGCATGTATCACTGGCTGCACTTTACATGGCTGAAATTAAAATCATTAAAACAAAGAAAATGTGTGTTGTTTAAAAATAAAGAGTGGTGACATTGGAAAAGGAAATAAAACAAAGAAGGAATAAAAAGATATAGAGGGTGTACAGTGAGAAAGAGTGTACAGGGCTGCTTGCTAATAGATGCAGGAAGAGAGACAGAATAGGAGAGAAAGAGGCGAAAGGGAGGGCCCCAAATCCATCACCAGCCAGCCGGCACTCACTCACAGGGAACCAGAAAGAGAGAGAAACGAGAAACTTCCTCCAAAATACAGGTACAGAAGGGAATCAAACTTGTCATGCATATCTACGACGGCAGAGCAGAGCAGAGCTCGACATGACGTCACGTCTCGTCGCCACCTACTCTGGGTCTAGATGCTAGATGCTAGTTTCAGTGTGGTGGGAGGTGAGGGCAGAAGGGGCTGAAGGGGCCACAAGTTGTTGTTGGTGTTGTTGTTTGGCTGCAGGGGCCTGATGTGCCAGATGGGGGTAGGCCGACTGGGCCGACCCGTCCGGCCTCTCTAGATGGGGGTCTTCGGCCGCTGACGTCCCCGTGTGGTTCGAGGAGTGGGGAGACGGCGTTTTCGGGTCTTCGTCAATGTACTTGAAGTCGGACAACGGGTGTGAGCTCCTCGAGCTGCGCAAACTGTGTAAACTACGCACGGAGCGCCTCTCCTGCAAGTCCTCCAGTGTCGACTTGAATGCGTTTATGACGCGCATCTGAAAAACACAGGGGGCGGCGGGGGAGTCAGAAGAGGTGGTGATGGGCAAGGGGCAAGGCACAGCCAGGCACAGCCAGGCTTGGCAAGGCAGCGCCTTTTTAGCATAACAGGCGTAACAGGCGAAATGGGCGTACGGGCGGCCACGACACAACACTGCTACACAACTACAACAATCAACAGCTACAGCACTTGCTAAAGCCTTGGATTGTGTTGAATTAGTTAGATATTGTCATACCTTGCACAAAAAAAATAAATTTGCAGTTAAGAAAAAAACACAGTCGTGTTACTTAGAACTAAACAAACGCCAGGCTGAAAAAAAAAAGTTAAAAAAAAAACAAAAACAAAATTAACTGACCTGCCGGCGAGTGCCGTGCACTGAGAGCAGAGCTCCTCGCGAAGCAGTGAGTCAATTCTCAAGAGACAAAGGAAAGAAAACCAGCTCGCTAACAAAACTAATCATGCAAAGCCGTGCAATAATTTCTAACCCATCAATTATGAAAATTATGCAAAAATAAATGTCATCCACAAGATAAAGTTCACTAATTTATCAGTACAGGCATTCATTACAGAGTGACAAAAAGCAAAAGGAAGAAAAATACCAGTTGAAAATGTCATTCCAAGCATAGTTGCAAAATGAAAATAGAACTAATCTACGGCAGGTTATCAGGAAAGAAAATGCAATGACAATGAAGCATATAGGATCAATGAGAAATGGGGAGTAAATATGCTCTGCAACTCCAGTTACAAAATATCTATTTCAGATTACTCAAGCAAAAGTAGCATGATCATAAAAACACTTACGTACTTTGATTTCCAAACAAGGAACCAATCCATATTTACTTTCTCCATGTCACTGACCCATAAGCAGAAAAAATGTCGTTAACAGACGGGCAAAGCAGGCAAGCTGGCAGCCGAAACAAGCAGGTTGGCAGAGTCTTACTGACGGGGACCAAAGTGGACGTAAAGGATCAACAGGGCAGGAAGGACAGACTGCAATGTAGATAGGTGGCCGGTTTGTAACTGGGTGTTCTCATGTCTGAAGTCAGGAAAGAAGGCGGCTGGAGCAGCAATGAAGACGAACAAGGATGAGGGTGAAAGACAAGTCAATGCTGGATCAGAGATGGGGAGAGGAGAACAAGCTCAACACATGCCTGTAATAGACGAGGAACAGGAAAGAAGAAAGCAGTAAATTGATTTACATAGAAGAGATAAGTTGAAATCAGTGTTTCTGCAGAAGACAACGAAAAGAAGGCAATAATAAAGGATAGGATAGTGTGGAAAATAGTGTGTTGAGATGAATGAATTATCTACTCATAAAATACTGTGCACATAATGCCTATTCTGTATGCTTCCTTTTCTACTGAAGGCAGGGTTCGAAATGGAATGAGGAAAATAGACCGACCAACCCCCAGCAACTGTAGAAAGCAAAACAGAAACCCTTAAATGTGCAGAGCAATAACACAAACCTAATGAAAGATTCAAATTTAAAAAGGTAAGAAGACCAAGTGAGGCATGAGACACATTGTGCAATTTTAGCTAAGTACCAAGTGTAATCAATAATCATTTTTAGTTGAAAATGAAACTGATCATGGCACATTTAAGGATTTCAGCAGTGCAAAGCTAAAGACCAGTCCCAAGAGATACAAAAAGCCTCCACTGCTTGGCGCCGAGTTGTGTGGTTCATAGCTCATGTAGTGCATACAGGTCAGATCATGAACCAAATCCAAGGCTTTTTGATCATGTTTTGTTGGCTTTCTTTAAGTGTCAGTGTGCATGTTTAAAACAAGATATATCAACACATGGCACATAGAACACAACAATGGCATTTGATACATGTGATCAACATAAGTGATTTAAAGAGCAAGCTACAACACCACCATACATAATTGAAGGGACTAGGTTTTTGTCATGTAGGAGCCTCCAAAGCCACACCAGGCAAATAAATATTACCACACACACAAAACTTTCCTAGAGTGAGAAAACAAGTATCAAAATTGAAAAAATAATCACAAAAAGACAAACATTAAGACGTATTTTGAAAAGCAAATATGAGACTTTGCCGAATTTTGTGCAAAAATGAGGCCAAAAGTGACATCTACTTGAGTGCAAATCACTTTAAGACTCACACCAAGCAATACAATACGCTAATCCCTTCCTGGTGGTAGTATGATGTAACCATGCTCTTATAGATTACTTATGGGAATACACATCTACCGTAGATTGTACCTTCATCACCTGCAAGATACAAGCCAAAGGTCAAGCCACCGGCCACACCTGCAAGACAATGTTGTATCCAATACAAGGTACAGGGAATCGCGTCATTCATCCCAATAAGGAGGGAACTTTTAAATAAAAGTGGACAAAGAAACAGGCAACCAACCAATTGAATAGGGGGTTTGTAAAATACGAGGTGGTTGATGAAAGGTCTGAAATCTTAATAATGAAAGATTTCAGCAACTCCTGAATTACTAAAACTGCCCTATAGGGTGAGATTTTAATTAAACAAGACCTGTATGACATCTGAGGCTCGATTGTGTGCTCGAGACAAACAATGAACAAAGATAGATCAAAAACATTACAAAAAAATGTTATAAGCTTAAAATTAAGTTTCCATGAGATGACATTTAAAATTAAAATAAACTTTAGACGTCAAGTTAGATGTGCATACAGGTTTTGGTACAAAATTTATATGTGCACAGGTGGTAACAATCATTATCCTATCCAAAATACATACATCAACAAGGTCCACAAAAATAGAGCTTCTTTTTCTGATAATTTTTGTTTACTCAATCTATGCAGGCCTATACATAGCCACTTAGCTTAAGAAGATAAGTTACTGTTGACCCTTATCGATGTACCCATCCCCAAAAGCATTGTCTTCAGAAAAGAAAAACAAGTTACAGTTACAATAAAGGGACCATAGCATAATCTCAATCCTTCAATAAATTTGTTTCAGGACAATAAATGTTACCATCTGATGACAAAGGAAAACAACCAAGAGTGGAACCCAGGATGCAATTGATGATGTGATAAGGGGATGCATCTTTCCGGACAGAATTCAATGGGGGGTGTCATCAAAACCTACCTTATTAACAGACCATTTCATGCCTACTCAAGTCAGATTTCTACTCTTTTCCCCCAATACAAATTCATTTACAAAACTACACTTTTAGAGGTTACAAACACCAACCTGAGTCTGAAGTCTTGTTAGTCCTCTGATCCATAGGATCTGTCCTCGAGGTTTTTTATCACTGTCATCAAACCTTTCGTCACCAAGGTTGATGGCTTCGGTGTACTCCTCTGGGTGGCCCCGACCCCATCTACAAGACAAGTTTCACAGTTTAATAATGACAACAGTTCAAAAGTAAGGTAAAATGATGCAGAAAGAAAATAAACACAATCATAGTATTCTTAGAAAGACCAAATACTCACGAAAGGATCTTCGGAATCTTTCTAGTGGGTACAGTTGTGACTACCTGTCCCCATACAAGAGTACCTGCTCCAAAGAAGATGCACCAGAGCCACTGATCAAAGGTGAGGCTCTTTGTGGAGAAGGCTTCCTTGCCGTACTGGATGATGACCACCTACAATATTCATTATTTATTAGCCTTTTCAAAAACTTAAAAAAAAAAAAAAAGGCATGAGGTGATTTTAACTTTGTGACAAGTACCTGGGCAGCAATAGTGCCAATCCAGATAGAGTAGAAGATTGGATTGGAGAAGAATCCCTCAAACACATTTCTTTGACCATGGATTTTCCGGGCATTAATTTCATTGAACATAGTCATCATGACAAAAGTATTGAAAATAACGGTAAAATGCTGAGTAGCTTCTCCTTTGACAGACTGTCCGCTTTTGATGTCCAGTAGTTGATCACCTGCAACAAATTTCCATTATAAGAGTAGATAAGTAAATATGTAATTAATGTACCAATGCCTGAATGTATTAGGATATTCACCAAGGAAAAGCAAGGCGAACACAACAGACAGCTGATAAACGGCCTGTCCTAGAATGTTTTTCATCATAGTCCTTGAAATCAGAGGTTTGGTTCTTCCATAAGGTTTCCGGAGAAGAAGGTCTGGAGTTGGTAATTCCGTAGCCAATGCAAGCGATGCTAGAGTGTCCATGATGAGATTGACCCACAGCATTTGAACAGCCTGAGGAGGTAGAAAACAGGACGTTTTGTTCACACTAAGAACTTAATGGCTTATATTGAACTCAATGATAACTATTCACAGGAGAAAATTTGTTACCTTCAGAGGACTGTCCTGAACAGCACAGGCACCAACAAATGCAACAATCACAGCAACAACATTGACAGTCAGTTGGAACTGAAGGAACTTTGCTATGCTGTCATAAACGTTACGGCCCCAAAGAACAGCCTTGACAATACTGCTGAAGTTGTCATCCGTCAGGATAATGTCAGAAGCTTCTTTGGCCACATCTGTTCCAGCAATTCCCATAGCAAAACCAACATCGGCCTTTTTCAGAGCAGGACCATCATTGGTACCATCACCAGTGACAGCAACAACTTCTCTTGCTTCAGAAACTTTACTGTCAATAATACCCTTGACGAGGGTATACTTGTCAGTTGGTGATGATCTGGCAAGCACCCTGAGTCTGGGCCACACTTTGTCCAGAAGATGCTGTTGCACCTGATATCAGAAGAAAGCACCCAAGATTGACTTTAAGTCAGTCAACAAAAATTGACCACCATGATATAGATAAAAGTTGCCTTACATCTCCATTCTGATCACGAATCTTTCTGTTGAAATCACTGCCTTCCAGAATAAGGAAGTCATCACCTGGTTTAATAATGCCACACTTCATGGCAATGGATCGAGCTGTGTTGATATTATCTCCAGTTACCATCCTCACAGTGATACCAGCCCTCTGGCACTTGCGAATAGCTTCCGGAACCTGGAACATTTATTTAAATGAATAAAACTGTACCTGCATATGTGAGATATCAGGGCGTTGAAAATATTTATACCTCAGGTCGAACAGGATCTTCAATTCCAACAACACAAATGGCAGTCAAATTGCTAACAATGTTTTCTTCATCATCCCAGTTGGGCTCATGATCAAAGTGCACCTGATTGATCTCAGCCTTGCCAGGTACGAAATCGCGATAGGCAATGGAAATAGTTCTCAGGCCATCAGCTGCCATAGGCTCAATAACCTGTCGCACCAATCTGTCTTGCATCTCCTTTGTGAACTTCTCAAGGTGACCGTTACGCCCATAGATGAAGGAGCATCTAGTAAAATAGGATGCAGTATGAAGAGACAAACCAACATGAAACACTGAAATTCAACACAGTGGAACAGCACTTACTTGGTCAAAATGATCTCAGAAGCACCTTTGACAAAGAGTCGGTAACCACCACCCTTCCTTGGAACAATGGTACTCATTGACTTCCTCACAGAGTTGAAAGTGTATACTCTGGTGAATATTTCCTCTGGTACGTCATCACGAATGGTCTGATAGCTTTTGCCAAGAGCAACAACAAATCCAAGAAGAGCACATTCTGTTTTGTTACCAACTTGCATCATTGGTTCTCCAGGGTTTGCAGGTTCCTAGAAGATAATCAAAATTTATTTGCTACTCTACATTAAAATTGGTTTCAAGATTTAGAACAAAGTTTTCAACTTGCCATGATTTTAGAAGTGTATCCAGAATTGATGGACATTCCTTGAATCATCAAATTTGCAACATTTGGAGGGATATCTGAGAACCTTGGTGTGGTTTTGCTAAGTTTCTCACAAATGTAGGACTGAACTACCGTCATCCTGAGACAAAAAAGAAAGTTGAAAAGTTGAAAGGAGACAAATTATTTGCATAAAGCAAGAGAAGTAGTATATATGTTAAAAATTGTAGCAAACCTGTTTGTGGTAAGAGTTCCAGTCTTGTCAGAGCAAATGGCAGTGGCATTGCCCATTGTTTCACAAGCATCTAAATGCCGCACCAAGTTGTTGTCTTTCATCATTTTCTGTCAAACAAAACAAAGAAAGCATTGAGTGTGTAGAAGTATGAATAAAAAAAATTATGAACAGACCCCTTAGAGAAACTCACCTTGACAGAGTATGCAAGAGAAAGAGTTACAGCTAAAGGAAGACCTTCGGGGACAGCTACGACTAGAACAGTAACACCAATGATCAAGTGCCTCACAAAATCATTGGCATATTTTGCTTTCCAAGGATGACCTTCGATGACAAATGTTTTCATACAGAACTGAATGACTAGAATAACAACAGTCACAAATGCCACAGTGGAGCCTGAAAACAAGCAAAGAGAAATTATTTCTCACAAAATTACAATGTACCAGGGGAATGGAGACCGAAGCCACAAAGGAGTACTTACCAGCATAGCCAATCTGGATAGCAAGTTTAGTGAGCTTCGCTTGCAGAACTGATTTCTCCTTGCCCTTCTGAGGCTCATCCTTGGCCGCTGCAGCACCGCCAGAGTGATTGTGGTCCGCCTTGGCAGCGTGGTTTCCATCAATGGCAGCATGCATGTGGCTGTTACCCGTCATGCCAGCTTCCTCCTCACCGCCTAAAAAATGACTCAGCATTAGGCATTGCCATCAAAGCACATTCTAGGCACAAGTGTTTATTATTTGAGCTTAAATTAAAGTGACTAAAGGTTCTTACAAACACTTCATGCTCAAGAAAGACTTGTTTATAAAATTGACCTGACAGGTGGCTCCATATGTATCAGGAAGTAAATGGAAGTTGGTCATGGGTGGTCACCCTAATAATAACTCTACAAGATGCGAATTTGTTCTAAATACATTATTCATTGAACAAGGATGAGAGGACATACATCTATACCATAAAAAGCATGCATCATAAATTGTGACTGCTAGAAATTCAAGACCACCATGTAAAGTCTGTTAAAATTTCTTTGGCAGAGTGCCAGTTACCAGAAATTCATAGGACAAAAAGAATGCCACAAGGGCACTGAGAGTAGTTTAGCTGAACCTTATTTTAAATGTCAAATGAAAATGCAATTCAGAGCTGTGCAAGCATTGAGCAGCTCAAAACCTTTTTTGTAATAATTACAAAAATACATGTGTAATAGAGTGAGTTTTGAACTCCTACAACAAATGAACAGCTTCTGAATTGCACCATGAATGCAAAATGCATCACCTGTTATACTCTGCTTCTTCCTCGCCTTTTTAGCATCTGTAGACGAAGACCATGCAACAATTCATTAGTACAACCACAACATTTAGGGAGCAAGGTGCACTTGACTGGCTCAGCCTTTACTTTTGATTTACATAGAACTAAAAAAAGAAATTCATAGAAATCCCTCAGTCGAAACTAATGGAAAATAGGATAGATCTAACAGGGTAAGAAGAATGGTATTTAACCAAAACATGCCAACACTCTTTCAATTTACCAGCAGGCAAAACAAAGATTTCTCTAGATAGACAGTAGTGCCCACATTTATGTTAAAGGAAATGACTGACCAAATCACTCACAGGTCATGCAGACTTTAAACATCAAAATTAGCACAATCATACTTTGATTGACAAAGTTTAACAACTGCATAAATAAGCAAAACATTTGAGAAATGGGTTCCATAACATGAAGTTAATGGACACTACTGAAGTCTATCATCACTTGAATAGGCCGAGTATTAAAACAGAAAATTTTTGTGAAACATGCTCATAGACAGTGCGTACTAGACTATTAACGTCTCATAAGGAATGTTGACCTCATTGCTTGCCTCTTCCAAAGCTTAAACTTCAACAGATAGCTGCTGAGTCACGTTTAAATTTAATTTTAACATCAGTCCTACCGACAATACCTTTCCTCATTTCCTTCTTCTGTTTCTGATCTTCTTCAGCAGCAGCGCCAAGGAGAGCGAAGATAATGCCGGCTTGCGAGTTAACACCAACGGCAGTGACCAGCATCTTACCACTGCCCTCCATAACTTGGGTTCCTAGGTTCATAGAAAAATCAAAGTGAGTATATTTTGATCAAACCTAATGGAGTTAGGACAGTGTTTGATTTCTTTTTTTCAGCTACATTACCTGATAAAATAAATGGATTGTACTTTTCCCCTTTTTAACGTGGTCAGACTCGCCAGTCAATGATGACTCATCCATTTTCAGATCGTTGGACTGTATAAGTATGCCATCCGCAGGAAGAAGGTCTCCATACTTTATCTGAGAATTTAACAGAGAGATATTAGAGCAACACTCACAAATGAGAAAATGTATCAAAAAGCAGCCTTACACATACCTGACATATTTCACCTACTACTATATCACCTGTAGGTATTTGCTTTAATTCACCCTGCCTTATAACATTTACTTTATTCTCTCCCTCAATTCTGCTTTGAAGTCCTTGGAATTGTCTCTCTTTAGTGTAGTCATTAAAAGCCGTTACCAGCACAACAACAATAACTGATATAAGAATAGCTAGACCTTCAATCCAGCCATGCTGTCCTTCTTCCTCTTCAGGACTACTCCCTGTAAGAAAGAAGTAAGTATTATTTGAGAGCATTTGAAGAGAAATTGAAACTAACTCTAGCTAAGATCTAAAGGAAAACATTACCTGACTTTCCATCTGTGTTACGAACCATGCAGGGCAAGCAGGGGCAAGACAAATGCAAGTGTATTAGAACAACATTACACTAAGGTTTATGCAGAATTTGCTAACAATCTAGACAGAAACCTAGGGCTGGGTTTAGAACTTGTGAGGAATATTGGAGTGCTTGGAATTAAGTTTCAGATATGCATTAGATAAGTGGAAACAGTGAAGCTAAACATCTAATTAATGACACATACTTGTGAAACTAAGGTATTAAAACATCTTGGGACATCAGGGTAGTTGTCAAGGGTACAGAGAGCAAGCAAAGACTACAAAGAATTTGAAGAATATTGTTATGAAGTTAGATTTGACAGTCTGACCATGGTCTCAGGTAAGAGCTGGGAGTAGAACAATTTTTCAACAAATTCTACAAAGATGCACATTCACTAGATTGAGCCATAGCATTAACTGTGATTTGACTTTGCATCTAGGACTACTACACCAGCTGTAAACATACCTGGTTCTTCTATAGGTCAGACATAAAAGTAGAGAAAAAAAGAGGGGGAGGGGGAAAAGTTGAGGGTACAGATCAATGCAACAAATCATGACACCATGAAGTAAACACATTGACGTAGATAAGAAAAAACCGCTTACCTTCATCGGCAGGTGAATAGAAGGCTAAACCAAGTGAGACTAAAGCTGCAATTTCTAAAATAATAAGTGTTGCATCTTGAAGTGCTTCCCACACTAACCGAAAAAAAGTCTTCGGTGGTTTTGGAGGTATTACATTGGAACCAAATGTTTCTTTTCTATGTTCCATATCAACTGCTGAACCTGTTAACCCTGTAACGAGAAAAAGAAGCAGGATTAGTGAAGCCCTTTGAACCGTTCTTGGAAAAGATGTATCCCTCTCAGATAAATTACCTTCATTAGGTGAGGTGTAGAGTTTTTTACATAGTTCCTGTGCACCACCCATCTCCTCGAGTTTGGGGATCGCCTCGGCAGCTGGCAGGCCCATAAGTTCCCGCAGCTGCTTGAGGGTGACCCCATACTGGGCTGGCCTCCCGTCTATCATCGCCATGTTGCTGCCGCTTTTGCTACCTGAAACACAACAATTCACACAAGTTAGAACAATGTATCGAGTGGATACTTAAACCAGCGAGGTCATGAGTAGCATTCACAGCAGAAGATGAGCGGCTTGATATGATCTATCGCAGGGCCATCAAATTGCCAACAGAACCAATTGATATCAAGAGACGTGTCAATCAACAAGACAGTCTTCTCATATAACTTGACATGGTCAAAGCAAGAAACAACCAAAGTTCTACCAGTGACAAACAAATCACAAAATGAAAACAGACTGCAGGGGAGGTGAATGACATTAGGCACATTCAACAACTAGGATTTTGAGGTTATAGTTCCCAGGGACCTGTTGATATTTCTGACAAGGCACATTAAATAGTGACAAAATCCCCCTGAACAGATTTTCGGACATGCCTGCAACACTGCAAGCCCCATCTCGTTCCGAGACGGGGCTGCCGCTGGCCTGTCCACTCGACCGAACGTCGCCCATCAACAATAAGCTGTCAACATACACACTGCTCGGCACTGCTCCACCTAGTCTCGCCGCCACCGCGCCTCCGCCTCACCGACTCAAGTCATTTCAAAACAGATGGCAAGCCGTCGTGAAAACGGCGCCGGCCCGGACAACGTACTCAGTCTGCACTTTGCTGTCAAATGGGACATACGCTCGTTGCATGAAGTGCACGGCTCGAACGGCGCGACTCGCACGGCACGGAGTGACTCGACTGACTGGCGGGCTGACGGGGCGGCGAACCAGACTTTCGACGAGACGGGCAGGCACCGAGCACCGATGCTAGTTATTACCAAGTAGGGTGAAGGGCAAGGCTTTGGCAGTCTTCCTTCTGTACTCCGACGCACCGTGTCTCTAGCTTCGTCCTTGTCGGCTGACGGCTCTCCCTCTCTCTCTCTCGCCGACCGCGCTGCCGTCACGACCCAGCCTCCGGTAAGGCTCACTTGACTTTCTCCGCGAATTCAGTCAGTTCGGCGAGGTTATGTTGCCTGGCATCTCTAGTGTCGCCCGCACCGCGCCGCTCCTTCGGCTCCGTCCTGTCACACACTCCCACTCACTTGACTTGACTTCCTGAGCCTTGCAGCCCACCAGCCCACCACAACCGCACAGCGGCACAGCCAGCCGCCAACGCCAAACAGCGGTTGTGGAGTGGAGCGGGGTGGTGGGAGGAGCGGGGAGAGGTAAGAGGGGGAGGGGGACAGGTAACTCCCGGTGGAAGGGGGAAAGGGGGCGTAGCGGCGAGGAGGAAGGGGGGGGGAGAGGATTTCTTTGATAGGGATCACGAGTAATGAGGAACAGATGACAGCAATACTTGACTACCGTAACAGCAGCATTGATCATTCCTCAACGAATGTCGCCGCAATGAATGGGACGACGCATGGCGCGAGTCGAGTCGTCGTTCTCCCTCGCCGTTTCTCGGATTTCGGCGACCGCAAGATATTCCCATCGCCGTGGAAATCGAGGGGGGGAAGGGGGCGGGGCAGTCTGTCGTCCCGAAGCCCGAAAGACGATGACGTCACCACGTCACCGAGTCGGCGGAAGTGTGACATCACCAAGATGGTGCCTCTCCGAGCTCTCCGCGTGGGAACGCGGCATTGCCGATGCGATAGCAGGAGCCAGCCTGGATTCCAGTGTTCCAGTGTCGCAGACTCGCGGACCTCGCGGAGTGGACGCGCCACGCGGCGGACACTTGACGCGCCGACTGCGGTCCGCGGACTCATTCCGAGAGTCGTTTTCGTCGCTCTGTCTCTCTCGCACTCATGGAGCGTACCGTATAGGTGCGCGAGCGACAGAGCGACGTAAACGACTCTCGGAATCGGTGTCCTGCGGCGCCAAGCTCGCCGACGTGCTGCTGCCTGCTAGCCTGCTAGTGCCCTAGGCAACTCTTGCGACAGGCACGATAAGTTGCCTGTCTGCAGGGGCAGAGCCACAGGCCTCGCCCAAAGGCGTGCAGCGCTGCCACACCAGTAGGCAATCATTTCCCACGATCCCCCTCTGCCGAAAGGGTTGCCACTACCTCAGCCTCCGGCAAGGACTTGGCTCTCGAGAATTTTTATCCAGTTGGCAGTCTGAGGTTGGCAGCCCTTTCGACACTGGCGCGTCGTGTCAATTTGGTCAATTTTTGCCACCGTTTGCGTGGTATGGAACAGACCCACGAGCGGAACAAGGTTCAGATACCACGTTTTAACTTTGACGGCCCCGAAGTTTTCCAAGAAAGCCACTGCACAGTGTGCGCACCTGGTTAAGTACGTGAGCTGGCAAGTCCCCTCTGGTGCTCCGGCTCCGGGCTCAGGGACTTGAGTCGCGTCCGCGTCAGCCAAGTCATACCCGTGGAGCCGGGGAGGGCGCTCTGCAAAAAAAGGAAAAAAAAACACGATTGAGTGTCGACGCGGGTCGGGCCTGGTCGGGCCATGCATTGAACCGTGGCATCATCGGCGTCGCCCTCGAGTGATTCAGAGGAGTGGTTCGTCGCTCTGTCTCTCTCGCACTCGCGGGAGTGCGAGAGAGACAGCCGAACGGAACAACTCTTGTGCATCTGGATGGCGGCGGCACTCACCTCTCTCTCCCGCGTCGGAAGTCGGGCCTCATCTCCGTGTCAGAGAAGCCAGCACAGAGCTGCCCTGGAACACACAGCAAGCGCCACCTCAGTAAAGGCGTTCCCGCGAAGGCGGGGCGGGGCGGGGTGGGGCGGGGTGGGGCGGGGTGGGCAGGGCGTACGACGTCCAGCGGGACGCCGCGCGCCGCTAGTTTCAAGGTCCTATTAAAACTTTAGAGCACGCCCTCCGGTGCTCTCGCGCCGCGCCCTTCCGGACCAAGGCCCTGCCCGCCCTGCCCGCCCTGCCCGCCCTGCCCAGGCCCTGCCGGGGCTTAAATGGCCGGTAGGGCGTCCAGAGGGCCAGCGCGCCCCGCAGCCCGACCCGCGGGCCGACCCTTAGTCCGACCCTTAGTCCGACCCTTAGTCCGACCCGTAGGGCCGCATTCAGGCATTCAAGCATTCAGGCCAGGGTGAGGCCACCGCAGGGTCCGGCAGACCCGTGCAGGCAAACTTGGGCAAGTGTGGGGACTCTGCTGAGGCCACGGGACTGCGCACAGTGGGCCAGAAGACCGGTGCCGGCGGTCAAAATTCTAGACGCGTTTTGAGCTCCAAAATCGCTACTCGAACCAAACGTGTGACCCCACCAATGGATTCCTCGTTCGGAGAGGAACCCATTGGTGGGGTCACACGTTCGGCTCGAGTCCCAGCGACTCAGAAGCTCAAAACGCGTCTGGGATTTTGGCCGCCTCCACCGGTCTTCTGGCCCACTGTGCTGCGGGGCCCGAGAGGAGAGACCACAAGGCCACGGCGAGGCCGACGAAGGGACGCACTGACGCACTTCGAGGCCGTCGCAGACGTCGCAGAGCCGCCATGGGGCACCCGTAGGGCGGGCCGGTCTATAGGCCGGTGCAGGGCTACAGTGAGGCCAGCCAGGCCCACTGTAAGGCCACTGTAAGGCCACCGGAGGGCCACTGTAGGGCTGGGAGGGGGGCCAACGGGGGCCAGGATCGAACTGGTGACCTATGAGCGCTGCCGTTCCGGCACCCGCCCGCCACACCCCGCCACACCCCACCCCCACCGGACAATCGATAAAGGCTCCGCCCTCCGTCGCCAGGGTTGTGTTCGGCAAAGGCCGCCGTGCCGCGCCGCGCCGTGCCTGCCGTGCCGCGGCGGTGCCGTCGGGGTCCTACCGGGGAGCCGCCGGCCTCCCGCCAGCCAGCCAGGCAGGCAGGCGGGCAGCTCGCGCACCGTGCGTGCGACGGAGAGCCTCCGGCCGCAGGCAGCCGGGCGCACGGCGCGGGCGGCGCAGGGCGCGGGGCCTCCGCGAGCCACCCCGTTGTGGGGGTGGGCGGGCGCAAGGGCTGCACAGTGGGCCAGAAGACCGGGAGGCGGCCGAAACTCTAGACGCGTTTTGAGCTCCAGAGTCGCTAAACGGGACTCGAACCGAACGTGTGACCCCACCAATGGATTGCTCTCCGAACGAGGAATCCATTGGTGGGGTCACACGCTCAGTTCGAGTCCCGTTTAGCGACTCTGGAGCTCAAAACGCGTCTAGAGTTTTGGCCGCCTCACCGGTCTTCTGGCCCACTGTGGGCTGCCTAGCCAGCCTAGCGGGGTGATTCCGCGCAGTGCGGCCGGCGCTCTGTCTCTCTCGCACCCGGGCGGCACGCCCCATGACTGCGAGAGAGACAGACAAACCCCTCGGAGGACGCGGCGTGGACGGCGCCCCTCCCCATCTGGCGCCCGGCTGCCGGCGAGCCCCGGCCGGCCCTGCCCGGCCTATGGGTGGGGCGTGCCCGCGGCCTACCCGCCCAAAGATCAAGTCACTTTTTTGGCATTCCACCAAGCAACGCTACAATGCCCAAGCCCCTTCAGTCGTGAAAGCAGAAGCTTCGCAGACTGTTTCGAGTGCTTTCTAAATCTAGATTCCTATCGAATTTCTAGATTAGATTATTATTCGAAGCGCTCTACGGATGCTACTGCTGTGGCTTTCACTCGGATCCACTAAACTAAATTAAACTCTTTTCTGCTTTTCGGTGGTCTGCCCCGCCCATGTGGTGTGGTGCGGTTGCGGGCAGCGTGCGGCAGACAGTTGGCAGGAAGGGCGCAAACTTGCGTCCGAGGAAACCGAGGGGGGGGGGGGAGGGGGAGCAACAGCAGCCAACGGCAGCCAAAGGGCAGAAGGGACGAAACCGCGCGCCCCGTGATAATCAGCAGACTGATTCCGAGAGTCGTTTTCGTCGCTCCGTCTCTCCCGCACCTGTACTGGACGTCCCACGAGTGCGAGAGAGACTGAGCGACGAAAACCACTCTCGGAATCAGTCGGCAGACTGGCGCAGTTCGGTCGGTGTGACTCCAACGCAATCGGAAGGGGCGGACGGAAGAGGAAGGGGGTGGGGGAGGGGGGGGGGTCGGCTGGAACGGGAAAGAAAGTGAAACGGGAACAGCAGGGAGTAGGGGAGGGAGAGCGAAGGGAGAATGAAATGGATGCGTCGGGGAAACGGAAAGGAAAAGAAAACGAAACACGCGCGGGTGAGGAGAAGAAAGTAAGGAGGCAAGGAACGATAACTAACAAAGCAGGAATAGGAAGTAAAAGTGAAATTGAAAGGAAATGACGGGAAGGCGACACGGACGCTCCTACACTACGTTGATGCTACATGGAGCCGAGCCTTCGGAGCGCCTGCGAGGTAGGCAAGCCCGTTGAACTCGCGAGTGTAGCGGGCTTGCCTGCCGCCAAGGGGCTCGGAGGGCTGGAACGCAGGACGCCGGGCTAACGTCATCCGGGACGACATCCAGGAGAACGTCATCGTGGACGCCATCCGGGACGACACCCAGGAGGACGTCATCGTGGACGCCATCCGGGACGACACCCAGGACGTCATCGTCGACGCCATCCGGGACGATACCCAGGACCAGGACGTCATCGTGGACGTCATCCGGGACGACATCCAGGACGTCACGGTGGACGCCATCCGGGACGACATCCAGGACGTCATCCGGGACGACATCCAGGACGTCATCCGGGACGACATCCAGGACGTCATCGTGGACGTCATCCGGGACGACATCCAGGACGTCATGGTGGACGCCATCCGGGACGACATCTAGGACGTCATCCGGGACGACATCCAGGACGTCATCGTCGACGCCATCCGCGACGCCATTCAGGATGTCATCGGTGACGCCATTGGAGCATCCGGGATGCCGTCCAGGACGTCATCGGCGACGTCACACAGCACCAAGACGTGAACTGCGCGCGTCGCCAGCGACAAGGCCAGCGTCCTGCGAAGAGTGCCACGGCACCGCTCCGAGACTACGAGTAACTACGAGTAACTAGCAGCAACTAGGAACTAGAGAAACTAGTAACAGTCGGAGATAGTTACCTCTTTCCGGAGTGAGTGGTCTGCGCGCACCCGGACATACCTGCCGAAAAAAAGAGAGAACTGTTAGTCAAGGACAAAGTGAACCGGCGACCATAAAGGTGGTGGTGGTTTGAGGCCTCCAAGGAAGTGCACCCCCGCGGCCCCCGCTTGCCTTCCACTGCAATAGGGCTCCTCGGAGGGCAATACCCGCGGATCCCGTTGGTCCCCTTTTTTTCGCAGACGCGACGCCATTTCCCTCTGAATCACGGCGGAGATGACGCG